AAAGGATAGTTGCAGATTTCTGTCAGAATCTGCAGATTATACAGTACAAATAAAATGTTCACGTTTCTCCAACGTTGTCTTCCAAACAGTTTCACTGACATCTACACGGGATGGCCAGGAAGCATTCGCGATGTCTTCTCGGGCGCTTCTCTGGCACTGATAATTGGCGTCTGTCTTGTGTCAGTGACGTAAAAGACGGATTTAATGCGACATGACCGTTCAAACAGCAGTCGCTTTCTAAAACATCGGATATGTATCGGATTCAGTACCACATACGAAAGTGACCCAGATCGGATTTGAAAACATCAGATTTGTGCCGTTCACACTGTCATACCATCATCGGATATGGGTCGCATAGGGTAAAAAAAAAAAATCGGATTTAATGCGCTTTTGCCTGCAGTGTGAACGTAGACATAGAGTCAGTGATTTGAATTTCAGTTTTGATTTTGGCTTCTAATGATTTCGAAAACAAGATAACCGAATAAAAACTTTTAGTTATTTGGATGCATTTTGGCTATGAACCTGTTGTTTTGTGTTATGAATCAGCCGCCTTTACAGTGCTCGTCCCTAAAAAGCTCAACCATGCTGACAGTTTAGTTTAACTCCAGGCAAGATGACAGAAGGAGGTTTGTGGTTGAAAATATTTATCTAGAAGAAGCAGGTTGCTGTAAGTGATCCTGTAGAGGGATCATTAGTGATTGCCTGCAGCTGCCTTTGACTCCTTATCACCTGGGATCACTGAGGGTTTATCCTTGTTCTGCTTTCAGCATGAGAAGAGGAGGAGGAGGTGTTGGTTGGTCATCAGCTTCAGCTCTCCAGCATTTTTGCCCCCAGGCTTCACTGCAGGTTTCCTGAGGTGCATGAGTCCACTGAGGCATGAGCTTCTGTTACCACAGACTGCACTTGCAGATGTCTCATGGACCCGATCGTGTGGACTGGCAGACATCTCTTTTTTCATTAATTTATTAGCTTTTCATTTGAATAATGGAAATCTCATGTAAAAAGACACTTTTTTAAAAACGCCACTAAATGCATAATGCGTGCTTAAGTTAATGAATGTTTGATGTAATATCCAGATTGTGATTTTTGCTACAATCATTGAGCCCTAAAATACAAATTAGCAAATCTTTTATATTTTTAATGCATTTGTTGTCTAGTGCTCGGTCTAATTATCTTTATGTCTATCAAAAGACATAGAAAGTCAACATTGCTGAAGGAACTTGAGGCAGAAAGCCAGGTTAATTATCTGTACACCTTTCATTATGTAGCTGTTTTCAATCATAATGTGACATGAATGGCTTGAATAGACATGCAAACAATAGTCATTGAATGTCAGAATGTTTGCTGGGAGAGGTTCCCCGATTAGGGTTTGATGATTGTTTTCTCGCTTCAGTCTCAACAAGAAAGGAGACTGTCATAGTCCTTCAGTCCTCGTGGTACTCCTGCCAGTTTTCCTTGCTCTCCAACATGGCTCTCTCTCTCCTCTGTCTGTCTGTTTGTGGGTGTGTGTGTGCGTGTGTGCACGCCCTTGCAGAGGCACGATCCTCTTGGTCCCCGCCCTCCGGCACACCTGTGGTAATTAACTCACCTGCTCCTCATCTGGTGTTTGAGTCGCGGTAGATGCTTACCTTCATTCCGTAAGTCTGCTCACCTGTTTCCATGTGTGCACCTCTCACCATCTCTCTTCTGTCCAGCAGTCTTCCCTGTTTTCCTCGAGGAGGATTTGTGTGTGTGAGTCGGAGAGAGAAGTCTGTTTCGTTATCGAATCTAAAGACTGAGTGGAACCTATCGGACCATCGACTTGGATACTGTACATAGAGACTGTGGATGTTTCCCTTTTTTGAAAGGCACTGCAAATAGCTTTTTCACATCACTGTTAATAAACTCTCCGAACTGCCTTCTGAATCTGCATTTGAGTCCTGCCTGCTCTCGGACTATGACAGGAGACTGTGCTTTTGAGGCTATATCTCTTAAACGTCAGATCTGCAGGCACCTTTAGAAAGCAACTGAAAGCAATTTGTTTCGATTTAGGTTCGGGCTTGTTTCGCCTTGTGTTTTTATCTGCCTGTGTGCATTTAATGTCTGGCTGCCTCATATCTTGCTTTTTAACCGTTTCTTACTGTGAAGCGCTCTGTGACATATGCTCTTTAAAGGTGCTATAAAAATAACGCCGACTCACTTTCCCAAGAGTCGGTCCCTGCAAGACTTCAAATCTAGACCACCAAATGCTTTCTTTCTCCTTTTTTGTTTGTTTGTTTTCACTCGCTCAATAATTCTGCCGTTAATGAACTTCCAAAGATGGGAATTATGCATGAGGTCGGGGAGAATGGGAGGCTTTCCCCTCTTACTCACACAGCTGCAGTCAATCATACAGTAGTACTAGTGCACATCCCCACTGATGCTGCAGTCACGCATCCCAGGCTGTAATTTATTTTATGCCGTTAATAACACATAAGACATGCTCGCTGCACACATATGCATATGTTAGTCATTAAAAAAATGCACTCATATACAATATATTGCAATACTTAATATATGGAAACAGGACATCATACACTTCATTACAACATTTTGACATGTAGTATAATCAGTGTGCCACAACGCTGATGTTACACTGCAAACCGTCCCCCATCATGCACTTCACTAAAGTTAGAGAACATAGCTGAACACTGAGGACAGCTCTGTACCTTTTACCCTAATATACTTGGCAATATAGAGTCATTGTCAGTTGAGTAATTACAGTTATGCTTTATTTATGACCACAGCGCTCAAACAAAATGAGCAGGCAGCAAAATTCCTTTTATTCATTAATTTATTGAAGTGTCAGAGGAACTTCAGAAGTCTTCTGACAGCAGGCACAAATCAGTTTACAGCCCCTTTACCGTTTATTGCTGCGGCTAAACGTGTTCCCTTACACACAGTAATACATTATGACCTTCAGCCTCCAGCCATTTAGATTTTTAGACTATTCATTTTCTGCTTCTCTGTGTTTATGCGATTTACCCGCATGCAGGAGTAGGTAGTAATTATCTCACATTCTTGAAATGATTCATAATGCTTTAACATCTAAATCAAAATGCCAGCAAGCAGGGTGCTCTTAGAATACATTTTATCATCAGCACAAACAAAACATCAGCTGTTTATTAGATGGAACGATATGCATGCCCAAATCATTTGAGAAATAGCCTGGAGGATGCAACTGCCTGTCCTGTTCATTAATTTAGCAACTGCTGCAAAGATGCCATCATATCACGTCTCTCCAAAATACTCCCCAATGTTTGCCTTTCGCTTCCCAAACCATTTTTGTTTGTTTCATGTCTTTAGTCAGAAAAAGTCACATCCCGCCTCTCTGTTTTCTCATGCTTTCGCCTTTCCTTTTCTCGGTAATATTCCTCTTTCAAATCCTCCCGGTTTCTGCGTGTCCAGCCTTTTGACGTGATGTGATACATGTCCACACAGTTTCCGGAATATGCATCCCTATACGTAGCTCTGTACACAGCTTCTCTAGCTATTGACTTGGCCTCATCTACTGACAGCCCCCAGTGAACACCTTGGTCCAAAATTGAGTAGGCATAAGGGGATCCTGAGCCCACAGAGAAAAGCATTCCCCGTAGGCGAGTACCATCACTGCATACATAAAAAAGCCTTGGTCCAGATAAATTCATTTTCTTTCTGATGAAGCACTGCTGAGAGAAAGAAAAGCGTTCATCCTTTGCCAGAGAAACCTTTGCATTGGTGCTATCTACAAAGTTTTTCTGCTCGGTCATTTGATTCTTTGTTGTTTCTCCTCGACTACCAGGACCGGTCTCTGTGCCTCCATGGTAATCACATCCATCGTCCACCTCTCCTCCATCCCACCCACACAACGTGGCAGCCACACACAGCTCAGTTCCTTTGAAAGGGTGAAGCATGTGCGAAAGCAATTTGGCAGCTCCGCTCGTGGACAACCGTCGACCATGGCGAAGTTGGTAAAGCCGCAGCTCGCGAGCCAAAATACGCTTCCAAAGCGCACAGTCGGCTGAAGTGCCTGAGGTCAGGCCCACCAAGTGACTGTGAATGGGCAGGATCTTCTGCGAGGCTGGGCACGCGACGAGGCCTGAGCAACTGGAACGAGTGTCTGCTGCAGCCATCACGCCACCCTGGAACATGAACGCCAAGGTGGTGGTGCCATGAGCCATGGGAAAGGGCAGAGGCACAGACTGTGAAGAGGCAAACGGAAGGCATGTTGGCAAGGACGAGGATGTTAAGAAGGGGTCTTCAGATGAGACGGCGCTGCAGTTCTGGACTGTGCTGATTTGCCCAAACTGTATCGGACTTTCATCTAAGTACTCTGCCACTGGAATATAAAAGTGAAACAAACTTTTGTTATTGCTAAAGGGCAAACCACTCACATAGCTGGAAGCAATCTTTTTTCCATGTGGCACTGCAGGATACTCTGTAGTTAGACGGTCCTCAAAGACAGACTGAAAATTGCATATGTCCTGCAAAGCCATTAAAAGTGATGACCTATGATTTTGTACACCAAAAAAAGAAAAAAGCTACAAAAGCATATATTTTTACAGCATTTTCTGCTTGCTTGAAAAAATCAACTCTTCAATAACATCCAATAAAATTGCCTTCAAAAGGTATTCTCTTGTACACATAGGTATGCCATCAAGAGCATATGTGTGTTAAAACAGCAGCCGCCTTTTATATAGACCATGTTCGTGTACGTGTGGTTACCTAAAGCAACCCATCAGCAACATTAGCGCATGTCATGCCCTTGACTTTGAAACATAAACAGTCAGTGGCCTATGGGTCATTAATTTTGGCTGCCATATCAGGTTGTTTTTCAGATCATATTTCTTCAAAGTCTTGCGTAAGCGCGTTGGCCAAAGAGGACGCAGGGTGATGACAAAGTCTTGGCTCACGTACATCAGATTAAGTTAGCTCTGATGCTTCACTCTTTTGGAAAGGTCCCAAATACAATCACTAATAAAGTGAATCAAACAACACTTTTATTACACATCAAGAGTAAATATAGCTGAGCCCTCATGGGCGCTAGCTCTTTAAAAGCATGCTAATCACTGAACTTGAAACACCAGAATTTCAGGTAATGCTGCATTGCAATGCTACACCCATTGCAGCACACGGCTGTTTGTAAATGTTTTCTAGAAGTCTCAAACAGTGAGAGCCAATGTTACTTACCACTCTGAATGTCAGATTTGCTTGTGGTTTTTATTCAGTTTTAAACAACAACAAAAGATGAATGTGTTTCATGTCATCATTTTTGGACATGTTTTCACTGCTTCTGCTCTAATGGTAAGCAATTTTATTCACTCTGTTTCCTTTCCAAGATTCACTCACTTATTCTGCTCACAGGAGACTGCTCTTGTTTTTCAATATACACTACTACAAGCAGTTAGTAACTAACTGGTGATAAAGTTTTCAAATTTGGTTGAGAGAATTAAACTTCATGCAAGTCTGTTTTCCCTTTATGTTCATTTAATTGTATTTCTTTTCCTTCTCTTCACCCAGGGACAGTGTGCTTCACAAGTCATTTCAGCCCACAGCAGTGAGACCCCGCCTGACAATTTTATGGAGTTTGACTCCGTCCCTGACAAAGTGGTAGATGGCTCGGTGGTCCGCGTGCGGTATCGGTGCTCTGGGCAATGTCAGCTTGCAGTTGAGGTGGTGGTGTCCACATTGCAGAAGACAGATTTAGTGGTCTTCAGGAGAAAATGGAAAAGCAGCAGACTCCGTGACTACAGGATCCACCAGGTGCTGCTCAGACTGCCTCCGTCCATTTCATATCAACGCGACTTTTTCAACAGGAACATTTTGGACACACAGAATGTGACAGTCCGTGCTTGGCTGGGCAGTTTTAAAAATGGCAGTGAACTCAGCGCATACCACAGCTCCATGTTGAGGATTTATAAAGCGCTGCAGATAATTCCACCCTCTGAGCGGCCAAGTAAACCTCCCACTGGTTGCCCGTCATGGTCGGCTCAACTAATGTGGCAGATGACCAGCCGCAGAATCCATCAGTGTCCACATGAATCAGGTTTGACCCTTTATCACATTGTCATTTCCTCTGCATGTCTCATCTTTATCTCCAAAGCTTTTAAAGACGCATGAAAGTGTTTGCAAATGGAGCCTTTCGCTGTTCTGTTTGATCCCAGACATAATCGATATGCTAAAGTTCCCTCTGGCAAGTACTGGTGAGCGCTTTGGAGTGATCCGCAGGTTCCAGCCTTTTATTGACAGAGCGCTGGAGAGAACCCGGCGTCACGCTGTGACACAGCCCAGGTTGGACTTCTAATTTACCTCATTTTAGCTGGAACGTATTTAGTATGAAGTTCAGCCACGCAGCATGAAAAATCTCCAGCCGAGTTTCCAAATGTTGCATCAAAGGATTAAGTAAAACAGAGTGTTTGATATTATATGTTTCAAAGGTACTCTCCGGCCCATTTTCCTTAAATATAAAGTACATAATAGCACTGCTTTGTGTTTATATCAGCAGATTGACAGGTCACAAGTCAGTGATCATTTCCTTTTGAGTACAGGCATCAGTTAGAACACACTCTACTTTCAGTTTTACTTCAGTGTCTTTTTAAATGACTTTACAAGCTTCACCAAGCCGCTTCACCAGAGCATATAAGCTTTTTACTTACGGTCAATGAAAGACAGCGAGGTCAGGCATTTTTAACAGGCAGCGCCGCGTTTTAAATTCAACCTCATGCTTGAGTGGATGAAGAAATGATTTGTCAAATCGTGTTTCATTGCTTGGCTTCCAGCGTCACCTTATCTGTGTGGATATACCTACTGAAAGGGTGTCAGAAGAAGCTCTGTGGGATCATCCATCACGTCAATAGAAAAAATTTATATGACACACTTCTGATGCAGCTTACGGACACAGGTGGGTCATGCCAGCTCATATGTAGGGGATTACAAAGAGGTGTCGCAACATGATTGTGAGTGAAGATTTGTGGTTTTTGCGCAGATGTGATTTATTAATAATGCTAGCACAAAAAATATGTATTAATAAAGAGCTTTGGATCTCCTGTGGTGAAATTCACGACTGTCATATGTGCCGTACAGGGAACATCATAATTCAGGCACGAAAGATAACTGGAGAAGATGAAGCATTTCAAGTTCAAGCAATGTTGCCTCTCTTGAAATGGATTAGATTAGACTGTTACATACAGGACTCAGAGGTAAAACGGTGGTGGGATGAGGAATAGAAACAAAATAATGTTCTGGGCAACATCTTATAGTTATTCTTTTTCTGCTGGGTTTTCTTTGGACTTCTAGCTTTTGTTTCCTTTTGGAACAGCTGTAAGATCTTGAAAGATGGTTTGTTTCCAGCTGGGAATCTCCAGGTGATTGCAGTGTGTACTGCAATTTGGAGTTGTTTACAGCTGAGCAGGTTTTTCCAGGACTCATGTATTGTTATGTTTGACTTTCCAGGTGCTGCTGGAAACCACGTGGGATGGTCAAACCCAGAAACATTTATACAAGTACGATTATGATTTTTGGTATAAAATAAGCAAAACACACTGTTGCCAAGTTTCTGGAAAAGAAATATTGTCTGCTCAGTGATTGTGATTGTTGGTTTGAGTGGTATTAAATGTCATAGATTTCAGGACAGCATTCATTACGATGACACAGATGGATACTTTGTGATTGGAGGAGGCAGTTACTTACAAGGCATCCGTGGGTATTTTGGGCCTATCAGATACTACCGTTTTGGAACCAAACAGGTAAAGTGTAAAGAGGTAAAATGTATTCATTTGCTTTGCTTTCTAGCACAGCCTCACTCTAAAACAGAGTATTATGACCTCAAGGTCATAAAGTATTAATGTTCCATGCCAAATTATGTCAGCAAACAGCCTGACCACGTGTACGAGTACACAGGTAATGAAATGAGGCAGTGATAAAATCATATGCATTAGTGGACCTGGAAGGTTTTTCCTTATTATTTGCCATATATATGCAGTTTTGGTAAGAATTTTACACCCATCATGAAGGTCATGATAATTTTTTAAAATTATTTTTTGAACTGTTCTTTTCCGGATTGGATTGCTTGTACTGCAGTCATCTTTTAAAAAGTTTTAAAAATTGGGTACACAAGTTTGGATGCATTTTGGAGTTTTTGTAATCCACACAGGATCAGAATTATACATACCATTTGAAATATATGCATACACCCCGATTAATATTTGATTAATTATTTGCTAAATGTCCTTTAATCGTTCATTTATTCATCCCTGGATAAGTCAAAGAAAATGGATGGGTGTATGGTTCTTCAGAAATTTGCACCTCCACTGGACTTTTGGTAGCCATCAAGAAGCTTCATTCTAATTCAAATGGGCAGAATTCTGGCTGGATATTTGCCTGCTCCTCTTGGCAGAGTTGGTAGAGTTCTTACAAATTGGTTGGTTTTACTGGCACAGATCGGGCTTGTAAGTGTAGCCCACAAATTTTCTATCAGGTTGAGGTCGGGGCTTTGGGAAAACCATTGCAGAAGCATATCCATTCCAAAACCAGTTCTGATGTGTGTTCGGGATCATTATTGGAATATCCAATTTTATACAACTTTCAACTGTCTAGCTGTTTGAACTAAACTTGAAAGTTTTTTGAGGTAGTTCTCATTCTTTGTTATTCCATCCACTTTTTTCAGTGTACCAGTAACCAGCAGCATTATGCTAAATAGGTTCTGAGTTTTGGTAATCCAGCAAGTGCTGCCAAATAAATCATTTTATGCATGTAAAGATAAACTACTACTTTCAGTAAATATTCTAAACAAGAATAAGAGATAGAACCTCCTGAACCACTTTTTAAAAGATCTAAATGATTGTTATGTATATGTGTGATTTTTTACAACCATTACAGATATGTTGTTCAATCATTCCAGCCTTGAAAAACAACAGTATTCATCACTAAAAGCCCCACATTGCCATGACATTCATGCCCATGATGAGTGTAAACTTCTGACCACCATACTATTAGCAATGATGAAACTTTTAAACAATGATGGTTTTTGTGAAAAATAATCCCTACAAGCCAAAGGTCAAGGCTTCAGGGAGGCCAAATCCCTCTGAACATTCATTTTCTGACAGTTTTTTCCTGCTTGTGAATCTTTATGATGTCAGTGTCATCTGATATCTGTAATAGGGTCATCTCAAGCACAGTTCTCACTGTGAGCACAGAAACCCCACACACTTGCTGGTCAAGCCTCCAATCATATGAATCTAGACTAAAATGTGGATAAAGGGAGAGGAACTATAACGGCTTGTATTAGATAGTGGGTAAACCAAGAGGATGCACCAAGGGCCAGTAAAATATTGCTACAATTTTGGGCTGTGAATCAAGGAAAGATAAGAATAAAGAAACAAAACTGGAAAAGAGCACAGTAGTTACATTTTAAAGACAATTGTATCCTAAATATCTTAAACCCAAACCAAAATAGAACTAAACACGAGGGACATTGTTTGCTTAATCTTTTGCCCAC